TAGGTGCAAATGATGCGGAGTCACGGTGCACAGGAACTGCAGAAACTGTACTTCAGATGGCATAAGCCGTGCCCAAGGTAAAGGGTTTGGATTTTACTCTAAGGATGCTGAGAACATTTTAAACATTTTAATTAAAAATTTTTAATTAAACATTTGAATTGAGGTTTGAAATAATATGATTTATAATTTTTAAAGTGCATTTTGCGCAGAAGAATTCCAAATAAGTTATGTAGAAATTTTACACTCGCAGAGGTGAAGCATAATTCACTACACCTTAAGAACAGACTGTAGGGGCTGGGGATTTAGCTCAGCGGCAAAAGCGCTTGCCTGGCATGTGCAAGGTCGTGAGTTCGGTTCCCGGTACTGGAGAAAGACCAAAAAAAAAAAAAAAAAAAAAAAAAGAACAGACTGCACATATTGACTTCCTTCCAAAAAACACAGGAAAGAAGGAGAAAGCTAACTTCAGAGCAGAGACATTTGCAAACACCACCTCAGCCAGATGACCAAGGTCAGCATCAACAGCAAAAGTCATGCTGATGGTATTCACTCTTAACATAATGATTTTTTTTTTATTTTAAAGGTAAAAGAATGAAAACATCTTAACAAACACAGACATAAGCAAAACAACACAAAAACTATAAAAGCCATACAGATTTTCAAACAAGGTGATAGGAAATTAACAATAGTTGTTGTGTTACATACTGTTATCTTCAAATTGGTTACTCAGATAAACAAATATAAGCATGTAAGATTGATCAAACAATTAAACATTAACTGTTCCTTTCAATAAAACAATAGAAATTAGTAGTACAACTACCCTAGCTATCTTGTGTATACATATATACATATTTCTTTCCTTCCTTCCTTCTTTTCTCTTTTCCCTCATTCCAGTTGTTCTTTCCTTTTAAGCAGGTTCTTTCCCTACTGCACCTTTTAGATTTTATTTACTCTTTCAGATTCTTACGCTAGTCAGACAGTATGGTATTTATACATGTGGGTCTGATTTATTTCACTTATGAGTATGGTCTCTAGCTGTATCCATTTACCTATGAAAGCCTTGAGTTTATCTTTCTTTATAGCAGAGTAATATTCTATTATATAAAAATACCATAGTTTTGTTATCTATTCCTAAGTTCATGGGCATTTGGGTTGCTTCCACAATTTAGCCATTACAAATTATGCTGCTATAAACATAGGTGCACATATATTGCTGTGATATGATGTTTTTAGCTCTTCTAGAAAAATACTCAAAAGGAAAATAGCTGGGTTGAATGAGACCTCTAGTCTTACTTTACTGATCAATCTCCAGACTGATCTCCACAGTGGTTATACGAGTCTACACTCCCACCAGCAGTGGGAAAGTGTTCCTTTTTCCCCACAGCCTCACCAGCATTTGTTATTTGTTGATTTTTTGATGATAACCATTCCTTCTGGGGTGAGATGGAATCTCACTGTTGTCTTAATTTGCATTTCTTGATTGACTAATGATGTTGAACATTTTTTCATGTATTTATTTGTCATTTGTATTTCTTTATCTGAGAAGTGTGTATTCATCTCAGATGCCCATTTTTGTATTATTTTAACATTGTAGTTTTCCCTCCAAAAATCCATAACCTCGGTCTAATTGCAAGAATGACAGCAGACAGTCCTAGTTGAGGGACAGTTTATAAAACACTGACTAGTACTCCTCAAAGTCATTGAAAGTAATGAAAATTTGAGAAGCTCTTGAAGTCAAATACAACCAATGGAGACATGATGACTAAATGCAATGGAGGGTCCTGGAACAGGGGAAGGATGTTAGTAAAATCAAAAGGAGTTCAAGTAAAGTATGAGCTTCAGTTAATAATAATGTACCAGGGTTGGTTCATTAGTTGTGACAAATACACCATGCTAATATAAAAAGTCAGTAATAGAGAAAACTGTGAGCTATGGGGGAATTTGAGGTACTATCTTCATAATTTTTCTATAAATCTGAAACTTCTACAACAGCTTCTTTTAAAAAACAAAACATTCTGGCTACCATGTACAGACCAAACTCTAGAGAACAAAAGCAGAAGAAGATTCTAATTCTATATATCCCACATCCTTGAAAACTAGGATTCTCTGTGTTTTAGAAAGGAATTATGGATGGAAGATAGAAGAATTTATACCAGTACTTCCAATTCAAATTCAGAGGGGTAGAGCTTTTACATAATCAGTTCCACCTCTGGCTAATTAGATGATTGTTCTCCAGAGAAATGAATGGTGTGATGGTGAATCTTGTCAGTTTGATTGGATTTAGAAATGCCTAGGCAAGGTGATTGGACTGTGAAGGTACTAACTTTATCAATGGGAGTGATGATGAGTTCATAACTGAATGGCTATTTGGGGGTGGAGCTTAGTTGGAGGAACTGGATCATAAGGATACAACCTTGAAGATTATATCTGGACCCTTGTCTCTTTTTCTCTGGGTCTTCTACTATGCTCTGCTCTTCTGATTTTTTTTTTTTTTTTTGTCTTTTTGAGAAAGGGTCTCACTATGCAGTTCAGGCTGGCCTTGAGCTTACTTTGTAGCCCAGGCTGGCCTCGAACTCACAATGATCTTCCTGCCTCAGCCTCCCATGTGCTGGGATTACAGGCGTGCACCACCATGCCTGGCTTATGCTCTGCTTTTCAAGCTCCCATACATAAAGTGAGCAGCTTTGCCATGTCAGGTTCTTCTGCCATGATATTCCTGCCTTGGAATCAGCCAACCACAGACTGAACCCTCTGAAACTGTAACCCCTGGTCAAGTTCAAGGCCTTAGTAACCATTGGATAACCAAGAATTAAATTATCAAAGGAAAGCCTGCAACACAAAAGGGGCCAAGAAAAGCAAAGGGGAAAAGTATAACAACAGAAGGAATAAGTAATTGAAGAAAGAAAAGAGAACTTAGAGAAAACCCAGAGAACATGGGCTATTATGCTATGCTCCCCTCCAGGCAAAGGGCCTGCGGTTCTAGAGCCCTCTGACCAAGAAGATCCCTATTTCTCTGGGTTCTGGTGCCAATGGACTTTGAACTTGGATGATAAACATGCACAGTTCTGAGGGGGCTGAATTCGCTTACACTGTTATGTACCCTTAATCTCATGCGCATCCTTGATCTAAAGCTGAAGTCATCTTACCTAGTTTCAGATGCCATCTTTCTATTCCTTGAACCTCAAGTAGCATTTGTGGTCTATCTAACCTCACAGTGGAACCAGACTAGAGTGGATAGAGCTCAGGGCAGTAGTGAAGGGAGATCTCCAAAAGACAAATGTGTAGCAGACCTAAAGAGCAAGTAATCCTATTTGTAGTTAGAGAATAAAAGACTCCATGAAAGAGGCGCCTTGGAGGATGTGATGATCCAAGGATTTCATACTATTCTTGAGAATGTGACATGACTTAGAAAGATAGTAAAGACCATACCCTGTAAAATAAAGCATAAAAAGGAGAAAAGTAAAAATGTATTAATAATAGAGACCATTCATGGAGCACCCACTACAGACCAGAAGATAGTCTAAGCATTGTATGTTTACTAGCTGTCTAATTTTTGTAACAGTATAAACAATATAAATATTTATAGGTCCTAATAGTGAGTGGCAGTCAGGATCACACCCGAGCAATCTGGCTGTAGCACTTGAGTGCTGTGAAACACTGCCAGACACAAAAGACACAATAATTGCATACTACTGACTATGCTGTGAACAGTGTTTATTTAAACAAACAATGAAAAGTTTATTGATTTTCATCTTTTAGCATAAACTATAAACATAACCCCCAAATCATTAAGTTTTTAGAACATAGTGTTCTGGCAATGTAAAATTAAAGTGTAAGTGGCAAAGTTGAGAAATAAAAAGTAGGGCAGGGGATGTGAGGGGGAAAGTAGGATACCCACATCCTCACTTATAAAATGGGGAGTCAAGAGATACTGTCTATAATTTATCTACATGTTCATTATCTGTCTTTCCAAGACTCAAATGTCAGACCCACAAGAGCAGAGACCTTATCCAACTTGTTTGCTTCTGGATTCTCAGCTCCTACCAGGGCACAAAGCATATTTAAGGCACTCAGTCCATATTGGGGAGTCATGAATGAGTAAATGCTATCTTTGGATCTGCGATGTACCCCAAAGGCCCATGTATTAGAGGCTTGTTCTCTAGCTTGTGGCCCTATTTGGAGGTGATGAAATCTTCCTGTGGTTGGCAATTCACTCCCTGTGCCCCTTCCCATCTACCGACTGCCCTGGAACTTGCTTTTCCTTCCAAACTTAGCTTGAAATGTAGTTAAAACTCATGCACTCTACTTCCTCACTTTCCATAGGGTTCTCATCTATGCCTCCCAGTCAGTGATGCACCTGTTTTCCTTGATTTGCTCCCAGGAAAGTTGCTAGGCCACCTAGTTCTCAAATCCAAAATACACCGCTCTGAGGAACATTTGCTATCATAAGTCTCAGGTCTTTAAGGGGACCTTTTTCTTCCATTCACTGCAGCTGAGGTACTGTGTTCCCCGTGTTCCCCCACTGAGCTTTGCCATCTCCTCCTGTGGGGCCCTTGATCCTGCCCATATAGTGAGAATAGCTAATTCCATATCCCTGCTCCCTGCTTGGTTCCCACAAACATGTCCACTTAGTCATTCATATACTCGCAAATCTAAGTGTCCTCTGCCCAGTTGAGTTTTTGAAGATAGGTTTTGAGGGGATGTGGTTTACAGTTAGCACTTCTTGGAATCACTTTCTTCACAGAACCCACTGGTAGATTAGGTTTGGAAGGTCAGGTTGTATCAAGTGACTCAGACCCAGACAGCGTATTAAACCAAGGGCACGCATCAGACTCAGTAATGGCTAAGAGCTTCCTCTCCCGAGACTGGTGCCAGAATAAGGGTAAGTCTGTGGCTGGGACAGGGTAAATGATGAGTGAATTGTGATGTCACATCCATCTATGACTATCTTAGGAATTAAGAGCAAGAATTCTAGAATCAAAAACTGAAGTTCTCATCTCACCCTCACACACTAACTTGTCACCTTGGGGAAGTTACATTAACTCTGTCATTTTATTTGAGCTAACCTAATTGTGTTTCAGGCTTTTAACAAGTTTTCATTGATAATGAGGCTTACAGTTAGCATTTTAAAGCTTACATAAAATTCTCCAAGTTAGTGATTCATATATACCTTTTAAGGTAAGACTTGGGGGAAAAATAACTACTAATAAATAATATTACCCTGTTGTGAAATTTGCAGACCTTAGAACCTCTTCTAAGGAGCCAGCATATGCGTTCATAAGTCATTTTCTTTCCTTTCCTTCTTTCTTTCTTTCTTTCTTTCTTTCTTTCTTTCTTTCTTTCTTTCTTTCCTTCTTTCCATATTTCTTTCTTTCTTTCCCTTTTTTCCTTCCTTTCTTGCCCCTTTTTCCTTCTTTTCTTTCCTTTTCTTCCTCTTCCTTCCTTCCTCCCATGTATATGCATGTGAGTGGTATGTATGTGAGTGTGTGTGTGTGTGAGTGAGAAAAAAAGAGAAAGAGAGAGAGAGAGAGAAATACTAAGGAGTGAACCCAGGACATTTGCACAATCCTACTGTGATCAAAATATATGATGAATGTTAGAAATTTTTGAAAATGTATTACAGCAGAAGATGCCCTCCATTAATTCCCTTCAAAGTCCTCCCCTTTGCTTTAAACACACTCATCTAGTCTTTTCTGAAAGGACTTTCAGAAATAGTTCTGGAAGGCCAGTTTAGTGTCTCCACAAGGCATGATGAAGAACACGGTGACTGCTGCTGCCATGTGCTATCCAGTGGAGAGGCAGGCTTATGAAAACATTATGGTGCGTCATCATTAACCTTATTCAACAAATCTGGCACTGTACAACTTCCGGCTCTTCCCCAAAGTCAAAATGATCGTGAAAGGTAATCATTTTGGATCAATGCAGGACATCAAGCCAACTGTGACAGCGCAACAAAAGAGGACTTTCAGAACGGATTCAAAAAGTGGCAAAGAACAATGGAATAAGTGTGTTCAAAGCAAGGTGGAGTATTTTGAGGGATATTAATGGCAATGTGTCTTTTACTGTAATAAGCTTTTTTTAAAAAAAAGATTAAACATTCACCATATCTTGAGATGTACACTCCTAGCCTTTCTTTAATTTTCTGACAGGTCTCACTAAGTCACTGTGGAACCCAGGCTTGGCTTGAACTTGAGATCTTCCTGCCTTTTCCTCTGAGAGTCCTGGCATTCTGGGCATGTACCACCATGTCTGGCTCAGGAGTTATTTTCTTTATCTATTGAGTGAGTATATTACTGACCAGGGCTGCTCTACAGACAACCCTACAAATGTCAAAAATGTTAATAACAACAACAGTAATAAAAAGCAGGCACTTCTTTTATGCTTATTATGTCTCAGGCATTGTCCTGAGTGCTTTATCACACTTCAACTAAAAGGAAGTGCTATTAGCTTCCCCGCTTAACAATGAAACAGACCTAGGAATGTAAATTTTCCAAAGCCACATGGTGAGCAAATGGTATATTTGGCATGTCAACCCAGCAGTTTGATTCTGGAATCTCTGCTCTTAACTCTTAAACGAGCCCTCTCTCTGCCCTTCTGTAAGTCACTTCACAACTGACGGTACATTTTCTCAAGGGCTGGAGCACAGAGCCAAGGGTTGGAGCCACAGGTTTCACTCTTAATCTGGAACAGTCTTTCTGAAAAACAGAAATTGATAAAATTAGTTAAAAGCTAAAGCCTGAGTTAGTGGTCATGAGGAAGATCTCACGTATCCATCTCTATCTCTGATAGGTATAGATAGATACAGATATATACATATACACTGTGTTCTATATATGCTATAAATCCATCACCACACCTAGAATGATATATATTTAATACGTAGCCAACCATACACTGGGATAATATATGTGTGTGTTGTTCCAAGATCAGTTAATGTACTAAAAATTAGAGCACTGGATAAGCTGATATAACAGTGAAAGCTCAAAATGCCATCTCTTAAGAGAAAACTTCCTTCCCCCATGAAGATTCAGATCTGGCAAGGAATGCTGTACGTGGCTCAGCTCTGCTTTGCCTGCCCAATATGCGGCTTCTAATGCTGAACTGAAGCGGCTGTGACTCCCAATTTCATCCCTTCCCAGGCAGTGGGAATGAGGAAAAGAATTGGGAGTGGATAGCCAGTTCTCATAAGGGCAAGACTCAGTGGTGTTGGACTTCACGTCTACCCACAAGCTACTGGAGCAAATAGTCACATGGTTGCAGCTACTGGCAGGGGAGACTAGGAAATGGAAATCTTTAGCTGGATGGAGGCCACATCGCAAACTAGAAAGACATTAGGAAACATTTAGGAATCCACTATAGTACTTTTTCTTTCTCTGTATCCTGATAATAACATCAAGATTCATTTCTCCTACTTAATTAAATGATAAATTAAGATTAGGGAAGAAAGTTGATTATAATGTAGTTCAGACAAATGAAAACAGCACAGGAAATAATGTGGTTTAAAGGTTTTCTCTTTTTTGGAGGACTTTTAAGTGGAGGTTGTCTTTTCATCTGTGCAGTTCAGTGTTTTTTGTCTACCCCGGGTTGTGTTCATTTCTCCCCCCAGAATTCTTGGCCCTTCTCTCCCCAGAAACAGCAGATAGCTCCACGAGAAAACTTCAGAACTTCACACAAAGTTTTGATTAGCTTGGAAAGAAGTATTCATTCCCTTTCTTTTTTTTCACAGCAGATCTCTTTTTTCCCCATTCTGCTTATTTCTTATTGGATGTTTCTTCATTCCCTAATTTAATTTTGTTCCCATCTTTAGGAATGCCTGTTCTTTTCTCTACATTACCTCTATTTTCATGGGTTCAATTGTGCAATCATTTGGAGTCTTTTTTTTTTTTTTTTAATTTTCTCATTTCCTCATCCATTCCTTCTGCTCACTAATTCTTTCATTATCCATTTCCCCAGAGCATTGTTGCTGTGATAAATTTTAATATTCTTTTCCATTTCCTTTTTTTCTTGCCCATAAAATGAACATCTCTAATTTACTGTGCAATCTTTTCTCTCATTCACTACTTCATTCCCCACTTCATTTGTTAGACTTTCTCGTGTCTTGCCCATTGTTCATTTCATTTCACCCATTACCTTACTAATTCTGTACCTTTCTCCCATTTTCTAATTCTTGCTATTAATCTTCTTATACTTTTTGTTGTTTTCTCATTTTATGCTTTCTTGCCTCATAATTTTGAGCCTAAATTCCTTCTACAGCTATACTTTGCATTTCCATTCTCTTAGTTTTAAATTTATTCCATCTGGAAAACAACTGTAAAGCAACGTCCTAAGTTACTATTTTAAAAAGTTGAGTAAAAATTTGTCTAAAGAGATATTGTATTTCAAGATAGATACCTTAAAAGCTAAAGTTAAGCTTTCATTCCCGAACACCACTCAAAATATTTGGACATTTTCATATGAAAACATCTCCAGACATCTTTACAGAACATATTCAATATCAGTTTCCAATGTTTATGACCCATCCTTATTTTGCTAATCCATTACATATCACTATATATCCTTTAAATTGCTATTGAATAGCTCTAAAAATTCATGACTATCCTCAAATGTAGACAGTGGACTATCCTAAAAGAGTATCTAAATGATGCACATGAAGAAAATTCCAAAAAAGACAACCAGAAATTATTCAAACACTGGACATATGATTGGAATAAACCTTCAGGATTCTAAGATGATTGATCTAAGGAAATCAGTGCTGTTTGCTAAAGCAACAAAACAGGTGCTTAATAAATGTTCCTTTCTGCCTTTCTTTTTAATGCTTATTACAAAATCAATCAGTCTCACAGCTTTTATTCAAAATTTACAAGTGATTTTTCCTCCCTTCTTATTGCTTTTAGGGTTTTCAGTGCAAATTAATTGATGGTATTTTCTAATTTATGAGGGGATGGGAGAAATCTGTGAATTTAAAAACACATGAGAAAATTCAGATAGTAATTGAGGAAAGAAGACAATGAAAAAAATCAACTACTTTGTCTTGCTTTCTATTAATTCTATAGCTACTAGGAGCCAGATTTTTACTTTTTGTTGAGCATTTATTTTTTACCTAATAACCCAGTGGTTTTCTAGTCTGTACCTTCAGCTAAAATGTGCTTCCTGAACTCTGAACCTATAAAAGTGGATCCTAATAGTATCTAATAATGTGCCCCAAGATATTCACAGAACCTCAAATACATAAAATATTACCATAGGGTTCCACTTTCCCCTACTACAATAAGACAGCAACACAACAAGGTGAAATTCGTACAGGTTCCAGGAAGTAGACTACCCTCAGCTACTGGTACAGTGGCCCATCTCATATACTGGCCCCTTCAGAGGAAATTCAAAACTCTTTCTCAGTCAGTCATGAAGAACTGAAATCCACTGTAGCTTTTTCCTGGCAAATGTGCCATGGAACTAAATTCTGAGCTTTTATGTGGGGAAAGGGGAGGAGGTAATTCTAGGGCCAAAGACTTTAGGAGAATTAAACAATTTTCTTTTCTGGAGGATTTTTTCAGAAGTCCTCCAAAACTGTGCAGTGCACATTACAACTTCCGAGAGAGAGATAGGATGGAGCTTCAGCTTCAAATGTGCCATGGGATGTGCCTGGCCAGATGTGCTACATACACTTCAACGGGGCCAGAGTTTAATGGCACCTTCCTGCACTCCTGAGCTTCATGCCCTATATGGAACTGTTTTGGTTGCTGTCATCACCATTTAGCCAATTATGTAAGCTAGAAACCTCGGTTGACTATGATAACCCTTCTTCCTCACCCCTGCTTGCCCTTATAGTGGCAAATCATGTCCTAAAGATGTTGCAGATCTATCTATTTTCCCTGTTCCCACTGTTGCTGCCTTATGTTCTATCTTAGCTTGAGTTTTCTCCAAAGTAGATTCTGAATCACAGACTTGGGAGCAAATCATGTGTCTTGTTTTGCCTCACTCTATTTTACTTTGGAGATGAGAAAGTGAGACAATGAAGGAAGGAAAAATAGTAACAGGTGCACTACTGAACAGGTTACCACTGGGGCCCCTCTGGGAAACTGTGTAGAACACCCCCTAAGAGGAGAAGAAGCCGGGCCACTTCTCCTAAGGCCCACATTGGAAAAAGGTCATTCTTGGCACTGACTCGCCAACGCTTCCATCCTGTGCTGAGGGTCACCGCTGGTCCTGGCAGCGTTGCCACATCTCTAGGCCACACCCACCTGCCTGTGGTCCTCCCTCCCTCCCATCTCCTTGCCTACCCTTACCTGGTAATCTACACTCACATTCCTACAAGGAAAAAAGAAAAAACAAACTGGCAGAATATGCACCCAACTGTTAACAGGAGCTATTTAGAAGGATGGTAGGTAGGGGGATGGTAGGAGGCAAGTGGAAATTTCAGAGGATCTTAATTTTTTACATTGTACATTTGATCTTTCTATTATGAATGTATATTACCTATATATTTTTTGCATCTCCCTTTCTGTTTGCAATGTCTTTTACGTGTCTCCTCTTTTGTCTAATTCCACATCTGTTTACCCATTCTAAATCTCTTACGTGTTTTATTTTCTGCCTTTCCCCTACTCCATATGCTGTTTGTTTTATTTCTATTGTGTCATTCTTATTCGCTACCTTGTCTTAGTTTTCTATCCATTGTGCAGCTTTGTCTCCAGACTCCTGGCTTATTCTTATCTCTCTGAAATCAATCTTCCTTCCTATTGTTCCGACTCGGTGCATCTCCCTCTAGTCTCATGCAGAGTTTGAAAACAGGGAGGGCAACTTCTGAGGCAGCCTACACTGTTAGGCCACCCTCTAGTAGTCAAACCTGATTTTCTCTCTCCTGCCAAATCTACACCTAAAGCAGCCCTGGGAAAACACAGAGCTAGTTATGAGCAAGAGGCCCAAGGACAGCTGTTGATCCTGAAAACGCTTCTAATTTGTCTCTGTCTCATTAGCTTAATGCTGATGCTGGCGGCCCTCAGCTGCTGACCAAGCTCGGTGACTTTCTTTTCAACTTGGCCTGCAGCTTATCAGGTCCAAAGATGAAGCTGACAGCTCTGGGCACCTTCCCTTTATGACCCTGGCCCTTTGTATCCACTCCCCAAGGACTTCCATTCATCTCTGGGGCTGTGGTAATTAAAAGCTGGAGGGGAGACTATCCTCACTGGCTGTGTCCTCCTGTGCTGAATTGTCACAACGCGCAAAATCACACACAAAAATGCTTACCATGCAGGAGCCACCTTGTGAGTGGACAGCTTGCTTCAGTGCCCAAGCTGGGTGAATTACCAACCTGACATGTGCTGTTGTGAAGGAGAGAAGCTACAGGCTGCGCTGTCATAAATTGCTTTCAGAATTGACCCCAAAAGGCAATCTGTAACTAAGGAAGATACAAAGCTTGAAGAAATATTTTCTTTTCAGTAAATAATTTAAGTTGCCATACTTGAAAAACAGGGGTTTAGGTTTGGAATTGATCAAGTTAAGAATCTCTTCAGACAGTGTGCAGCAGGTAAATCTGCAAGACGTATAACAGTGCTATCTCCTGGTCTGAATCTCAGTTTCGTGGTATTTTACTGTGCAACATGAACTTGAACCTCATTTGTATTTGCTGTGTTTAATGATCTCAGTGTCCCCAGACAGCGAATAGTGGTGTTCCAGGAGAATTTACCAAGTTCAGAGATACATGGGTGGTTTTTCCTGCACTCTGTATGTCTAGTTCTCCAGCTTCAAAGTCTGATCTGTGCCTCTCTGGGTTTCATGGAGAAAGCTCGTTCTGGGTGGAAGGTGATGAGGGTAGCCCATTCCTGTTCATACCTAATTAAGATGAAACAAGCCTTTTGCCTCACATTCCCTCCTGCTGCTCTAGAGCCTTTAGCAGTCACTTTCAAAACCAGAGCCTGCCTTCTTCCCTCCTGGCTGCTCAGTTTCCTCTTGCTGCCCCTTGGGGTGCCTACACGAGAACCGACTCTCCAGCTCATTCATTCAAACAAATTCATCATTAGATCCCACTGCGTGTACCCAACCGGGCTGCTGGGCCTGTAGACAGATGTGCAAGGTTTCCTGTCTTTCAGAAACTCACAGGCAGAAGAGACAGACCTGAGAAACGTGGTAGTAGAAGAGAGAGAGGAGAGGAGAGAGCCGATGTATGGGAGCTCAGAGCACAGTGTAATGAATGGGGCAGGGTAGCCCAAGGGTGCAAGAGTCCAGGTGAGCTCTTGGAGCCCTCCCCTCCCCTAGCAAGTTGTCTGCTTAGTGACCCAGCAGCATGAATCTGCCCTGCTCACCAGGACATCCGCTGGCCGGGTGGGCACCAGGCATCCCACTAATAGGCAGGAAGTTTCCATGCTTATGGGGAATAAGTCAATGTTGGGGTGACTTCTATGGGCTTTAAAAGACCAAAACGTCTGAGTTCAGTAGATGGAGAAAGGGAGTAGGTTTATTATTTTCCTTCATTTATTAATATCTTTGGGAATACAGTCACATTATTTTTAAAAACCCAAAATAATAGCCAGGTATTATGGTGCATCCTTGTAATTCTAGCACTCTAGGAGGCTGAGGCAGGAGGATCCCAAGCTCAGCTTGGCCTGGGCAACTTAGTGACTCAGGGTGACCCTAACTATAAATACATACATACATACATATGTACATACATATATATATACATAGATACTGGGGATGTAGCTTAGTGTAAAGGCCCTGGGTTCAAACCCCAATACTGCCTCAAAACATCAAAATAATGAAGTAAGAAGTCTCACTTCTTACCTTATGTACCTGTCCTGCTCCCCTACCCCACCATATTGCACTCTCGCCTCCTGTGAATTATCAATTTATTACTTTTGGGTATATTATACTAGTATATCCTTATGTAAATATATATATATATATATATTCTTAGTTTTACTCCTTTTCTTACAAATGGTGGTAAACTGTTCTTTCTTTTTTTAAATTCAACAACACATCTTGGAGCTCTTTCTCTACCAGTGCACTGAGAATGACCTCATTCCCTTTTACACCTGAATATTACACCATGGAATCCATATACCTTACTTGAACGATCACTTAAGCACCTGTGTTTGAATAGACCTTTCCTCCTCCTCCTTCTCTGCATTAAAACGTGACCTCAGATCACTGATTTTCTTTTTCATGTGCCTAATTTGATAAATGATCATGCCAGTGCCTTCAAATGATAGAAATGTGTTTGCACATATACTTTGTAAAACTGACTTTTAGGGCTATTTCAGAAGAGTCAACTCCCAAAGAAAGTAAGCAGCAAAGCATATTGGTTCAGGAAAAATGTCTCCAAGCCATTCATACTTTTAAAATGGTCCCTCTGCATGCAGAAGATATGGCAGGGGCTCAGCTCACTTTGGTCTTGAGCCCGTGGTGACTGTTGCAGATGGAGCGATTTGGGACAGGTCCCTTAAATGCTTTTGAAGTGATCAGGCTGTCTGTGTACAGGTGCAGCCCTTGCTGGTGTGAGGGGATTGCTGGGGGCCTTCTGGTCCATTCTACCCTAGGTGTTCCAGAGTGTATGTAATAAGAACTGTACCAGGGCAGCTTTAACCTTGTTTTCTCCCTTAATAAAAAACGTTCCCAATATTAAATCACATGATTTTATAGGTAATCCTATATTCAATTTTCCCTAAGTAAATTCCTTTGAGCCAAACTGCTAGCATGCGACATGTAAGATGTGAAACCTGAGCATAAAGCTCACATTTTTATGTTAGTAATTATTGCTGACTTGTTTCTTGCCTTTAGTATTCCAGACAGCTCCACTCTTTGTGTGACTGCTATTTTTCCTCATCTTTTGCCTAGGGTTTTTCCTTTCCATGCTTCTGATTTTCTTTTCTTTTCTCCCCGCATAGTTAAGAAGCTCGAGTACGTAATCCTTCCTGCAGAAGGACGTGGGCTGTGTTTGTGAAAAGACCAGGTTGTGCTGGCTGCTGTTTGTTTTGTTTGTCTTGACAATGTGGATTGTTACCAAACCTATTGATCTGCAGCTTTTGGATCAATAAGACATGGTGGAAATGAGCACCTTGGCCGTGTTGTCTTGTGGCTCACTCACCCCTTCAGAAGTGGATGGAAAGTAGATGAGGTTTGGGGGAAGAGGACGCTTGGAGGACTGCAAGTGATGAACATCCCTGTAATGAATGCCCCAGCCCCAAATCAAGGTGGGTTTCTTGTGCATTTATTCTCCCTGAAGAAGGACTGAAGTGGCGGAAAAAAACAATTGTGATTTCAAAATGCTGATGCTGGCCATCCTAAGCAAGGCCTTTGTTGCTGCTGATTGCCAACTGGGTATAGAAAATGAAGCTCAGGGGAGAGGACGGAAACAACAAAGGAAAGGTCACAGTGCTCTGCATAGAGAAAGAGAAAAAGATGCTAGATCACCCTGGGGAGCCTGAGCATCATGGCAAGAGGCTGGAAGAGAGAGGAGAAATCGAAGGACAGAAAGGACTCCTGGGAGCAGGACTATTGGAGAAAGCCTATTGTTGGATGGTAAGTTGTTGTCTCAGTGTGATTGCCCCTGCCCCAAACTTTAATAGCATGGCTACAAACACAGCCTGGTGTTACTGGTGCTACAGGGAAGGATGGCAAACTGGGTGGTATGTGACATGAGGTGTGCCATGGAAACCCATACCTTAGGCTGAGGTTGCAGTGGAGAAGACTGTAAAAGAGATATAGAAAACCAGGCATAGTAGAGCACACCTCTAATCCCAGCACTCAGGAGGCTGAGGCAGGAGGATTGCCATGAATTCCAGCCATTCTGGGGTATGTAGGGAATTCAAGGCCAACCTGGACTACAGAGCAAGACTTTATCTCAAAACACTAAACAAACAAACAAAAAAAGAATTACAGGAGCTCTCAGAGAAGTCCCAGAAGTGTCTGTAGCATTTGTTACTTTATATAGGCTGATGGCTCAATCCATTTTAATTCAACATTATAAAAAGGAATGCAACCTCCTAATTTTGGAAGCGTGAAGCCCAGGCTGCTAGCATTTTAGAAATCAGTATTACTAAGACTATTTTATACAAATATTTTAAGAAAAAGAAAATGAAATGTCTTTGGTTGAAATAATAAGAGTTTTTTTCTTAGTATAGGTCTATGAGAAAATGGATCAGTGCTACAATCTCTGGAGGTTAGGAAATATATTTAGTTAGTCACCAGGAAGCTGAGTCCTGATGCTGGAGGAACTGCCCCTCACTCCTGGGTCCTTAGTGTCTTTGATGAAAAAGTTCAGTTGAGACATATAGGCAGCAGTGTAGACGCATAGATCATTTATTGTAAAGTAGATAGGGTTTTAGGCCTTCAAGCAAGAAGGTAGGGCATGCCCCATCTGCCTGAAGTGCAAGTTTGGATATCTTTTTATGGACACGTTACTCTTGGGGTGCAGGGATCTATTGTGATCATGATGCTTATCCACATTTTTCTTAGAAGTTACTCTGGAATTGCAAAATATCTTCCTTGCTCTTTTCAGATAGTCAGTGTTCCCTCAGGGCCTGGATCATGTAAGAATCTTAGAAAAGAAAAAGTTCTAATCTAAATTAGTTCTCAGCCCAAGGCAGGAGAGTCTCTACAGAATGTTTCCCTTTCTGATATCCTGTGCCATAGGCTATGGCAACCAGGGATGCTATGTGGCATGTTCGAAATGAATGTGCACAAGGTATAAATTTCAAATGTCATTGGGCTCTGTGGGATCTTTTGGGTCTGAAACCAAAGAAATGATTATAAATGTACAGTCCCTGAGGTTTTTTTTTCTTCATTTAGCTGTCACTGGCAAAGCATGCCATTTTTAACCTCCCTCTGTCCCTCAGGCCCTCTAATGTCTATCTGCCTAACATACTTGATGGTTGATCTTGATTGTCAACTTGACTAGATTAAGGGATGCCTAAGAGATTAGTAAAACACACTAAAGTGTTTTACTATGTCTATGGGCATGTCTATGGGGGTGTTTCCACAGATGAATGATACGGAGGCCAGCAAACTGGGGGGAAAGATCCACTCTGATTGTGGATGAAGCAAAAAGAGAAAAAAGATGAAGTCAGTGTGTGCTTAATGGGGCATAACATTGGGTTACAACAATTCATCCCATACTTTTCTATGGTAAATTTATATATTAGCATAATAGTAGCCAGCTGTGCATCTCAGTAGCTGCACCTGGGGGATAAAGGAAGGAGTTTTTGTGTTAACCCACTTAGTAGAATAAAAAGAAAAGGTGTGTGGCAAGGGGTGTGCATAAGCAAAGTGTCAAACCGGGATTTCTACCCATTTAATACTCAGTCTAACAGGTTTTACATATATTTACCTGAGCACCACTGAGGGTAAAATACACCCCTACCACTCTTCTGTTCCGTGAATGTGTATTTTACCATACTGGAATGTGCGTGTGACTCATAGTAGCTGGGCCTGGGGAAAGTAAAACCCCATCTGTGCATTCACCCACTTGGCAGACACATGGCAAGTTGTGTGCTGGAACTCCAAAGCAACAACAGGTGAGCTTTACCTATGAATGCTCATTGCTAAATTTCTGTGCATTTAGCACTGGATTTTTTTTTTTTTTTTAATTCTAAAGAGTTAGCATTGGTTTTTTTAAAAAAGTTTTCTTTTGATTTTTCTGGTAGAAGTAGTCCAGTTCAGTACAATGGCATGTGGAAAACCAGATTTGCAAGTTTTAGAGGTGGACAATGAATCATCAGATTATTCATGAATGGATGATGAAGATGATAATGACTTTGACATTGACCATACGAGCCAAAGTTCCTGTGACTATGAAATGGAACAAGACTCGACAGATACAGACACAGGGAATGCAGACCTTCTTGATTCAAACTACAAAACAGCAACATGAGTGTATATTTGACTCATAGAAATGGTACAAAATGGTCACGCAACCAAATGCAACAATCCAATGCTAGAATGAGGTCCAAAAATATGGTGAGGATCTTGTAGGGGTGAAACCTAGACAGAATGCCAACACTTCTATTCAGTGTTGGAATTTGTTTGTAACAGATGAAACGCTACACGATGTTGTGAAATATATAAATGCTGAAATAAAAGTAAAATGTTCTGTACATATCAGTAACCCTACTAAAAAATATATTTATTATGACTAGCTGAACTGAAAGCATTCATAGGTCTGCTGTACTAAGCAGGACTTTCTCATGGTAATCACAGGATTGTAAAAGACTTATGGAAAATCAATGGGTGTGGGCTTGAGGTTTACAGAATAATAATGATACTGAGGAGATTTGGCTTTCTTCAGAATTGCCAGAGGTTGTATGACAAAACCACCTGGCAACAAAGAAAAAGAACTGATAATCTGGTTGCTACTCACTTGTTGTTTGGGACATTTGTGGGTAAGTGTCAAACAATTTACACACCATCTGAATACATGACTATTGATGAACATCATGCAGCTTTCATGGTCACTGTAACTTCAGGCAGTATATGCCCCCCAAAACAAAACAAAAAAATTCAAAATATGGCATAAAATGTATGCCCTTGTAGATGCAAAGACTTATTATGTTTTCAATGTATGCTAGAACTCAGCCATCATGTCCTCATTCAGATAGAAATAAACCACATGATGTTATGAACAGACTTATTTCTCCCATCTCCCAAACTAATCAGAATTTGACACTGGACAATTGTTTTACCAGTTTCCAATTGATGTAATATTTGCTAGAAGAGCTCAAGTTGACCATTGTAGGAACTATGCACAGGAACAAGCAGAAATTCCTAATGAAATGTTGCAATTTCAAAGCAGAATTATATACTACAATCTTTGGATTTCAGAAAGATATAACATTGGTCTCATACATGGCAAAGAAAATCAAACCGGTACTACTGTCAGCATCACACCGTGATGGAAATATTGATAAGGAAACTGTGACAAAGTGGAAGCCTGAGATGTTTTCTACAACAAAATCAAAGGTGGAATAGATATTATGAGTTATGCAGCAACTATAATGTCATTCAAAACACACAGCATTGACCAACCGTTGTGTTTCACTCAATCTTAAATTGTGTAACATAAGTAGTTTGATAGTTTACAAAGAAAATAATGTGCAAAATATCATGGAGAAATTTTCTTAAAGAATTTGGACTGGAACTCATAAGAGATCATTTACAGCAGAGGAAAAACAAAATGTTTGCTGCCCAGGGAACTACAAAACAATTGTGGAGCGCATGGTGAGCTGACAGGTGAGCAGGTAGGAGCAGCATCGCAAAGATCTACCATGATAACAGGAAAACCAGAAAGATATCAACTATGCCTTACAAAAAGCGACAGGAAAACAAAACATACATGTTATCAGTGTAAGCAATACTTGTGCATACAGCATGCAGTTATTATGTGTGAAGACTGCCTTGGGTGTGTCAGATGAATCAAAGCTTATTTCGGGGATAGACTTTTGTTTGTGTTTACATTGTAGTGCACATAGGTATTCATTTCTAGTGTTATCTTTTAGGTTTTGCAAGCAACTAAACAGCTGATGTGAAAATGTTGATGTTTATTCTAAGCACTCATTTCATATTTGATATTTTATTTTATTAATATTTTACTTTCCTGCTAAGTGCATGCTAACAATATAGTAGCAATCTCCTACAAAATTGGAAAATAAGAGAGGTGACAAGAATGGCCTGCCACACAGGAAAGGAAAGTAAGCACATTTGCTGTCGGTGTAAGTGAGACATGTGCAGGGAGCATGCAGTTGTCTTAAGTGAAGACTGCCCTGGGTGTGACAATTTTTTTTGGTGCTGGGAATTGAATTCAGGATCTTGTGCTTGTCAGGCAGGTGCTTGTGCCATTGAGCTGTATCCCCGGCCCGGGTGTAACAACTGAAGCAAGGATTACTTTTGTTGTAGAGTTCTATCGGTACTTTCATTGTAGTTCACATAGGAATTTATTTCTGATGTTATGTTTTATGTTTTGCAAGCCAGAACACAGCTGATGTTAAAATGTTGATTTTTATTCTAAGTGTGTAAAACATATTAAGAATTTAATACCTTATTTTATTGATATTTTATGTTCCTGTTAAATACATGACATATTATAAGAAAGAATCTCCTGACAAAACAGCACAATCAGCAAGATGTCAAGTATGTCCTACAAAAAGGTCAGGAAAGCAAAACACATCTACTGTCAGTGTAAGCGAGATATGTGTATGGAACGTGGTGTTGTCATGTGTGAAGACTGCCTCAGGTGTGGTAATTGAAGTAAAGATTATTTTTTGTAGATTTCTATTGGTATTTTCATCGTAATTCATATAGGACTTTATTTCTGTGGTTACTTTTTAGACTTTGTGTACTCAAAAAAGTCAATGTTGAAAATTTTGATGCTTTTTTATAAATAATGAATATTAAAAATTCAATACTTTACTTTTGCATATTTTTCCTGTTAAGTACTAATGGTTTAATACAATAAAACTCGTAAATTAAAATTAATAATTCATCAATAGAAACATCCTAAAGAATAAATGTAGGTATTTGTTTTTTGTTTGTTTTTTGCTTTTTTCCAGTACTGGGAATCGAACTCATGACCTTGCACTTGCCAGGCAGGCACTGTGCCGCTGAGCTAAATCCCCAGCCCCTAAATGTGGGTATTATACACACACAACAATGCACCGTTATGACAAAATTGGTGTTATGCCTCACAGGCATGCACAAGTGAGTCTCTTGGGGCTACCAGCCCTCCTGGCATCAGTCTCCAGCTTCTCCCACTTTTTAGTGAGGACTTAACACCAGCAACTCTCTTCAGGGAGCTTTCAGGCTTTAGCCTTGGGCTGACCTGGCATCCTTATTCTCCAGCTTCCAAACTCTTGGACTAAGCAGCTATTGGATCTCCAGCTCTGACATGCAGACTGGATTGTAGACTATCCAGCTTCTGATCCTGTGAGCCTATCTAATAAATACCCTTGGTTAATTGTGTATGTGCATATTGCTCAAACACACACAGGTGTGTGTGTGTGTATGTGTATTCTATTGGTTCTCTTCTTCCAGAGAACTCCAACCAACGCTCTATATATGATAAACTTCATATATAAACTTCTGTTGCCTTTTAGTGTTCCTGTTTAGTTCATCCAGTGAGTATATCCAGGAGTACATGTACCTTGGAGGTAGAGGGTAGCGGGGAAAGTGTACATACTGCCAAGGTCCCACTGTGGCTATCCTGCTTTCTGCCTTTGGAGAGACACCACATATCCCTCTGATCTTTGTTCACTGTTCCATGTGGTCAGGCAGCTGTTCCTCATGTCTAACCACAATGCTTTTGGAGGTGCAACTCTCCTTGGGCACCTCCTACATCCTCACAAGCTCTCAGGAAATGGGTGCTGCTTCTGGGCCACTCTCAGTGGCAGGAAACCCCATAGATCTGTCAAAGCTCTTTTACCACCCCTGGGCCACTCTTTGGAGCATACCAGCCATGCCATCCCATCCAGTGATGCTGAAGCACAGTGAGCTCAGACCCAGTTCTTAGAGAAGATGCACCTGGGAACAAGGCTGCTGATCTTACCTGTCATCAGCTCCCTCAACCTGTCTGGTGCTTTATTTCCCCACCTCTGTAGGAAGAAGAGCAGAACTCTGAGCCTCTTCTCTTGGGGATCCCATACTGTTAAGCGTTTTTCTCTTCCCAGCTGTTGTCTAGGCTGCCTTCCATGAAGCCAATGTTATGTCATCAGATATTCTCCCACATTTACTGGAACCAAACTTCTAGAACTCAAAGAGCTGCTGTTGCACTTTGCCTCTTCCCCAAGGGAAAGGCCAAAGTGACAGTGTCCATTTCCACAGTCAGAGTTTATCACTGCGAGTGAACCGAGAATCATCAGGGTATTTCTCAGAAAAACTCCATTCAGTGTTAAAAGGTCAGCGTGCCTGGGACACCCCTAGCCAAAGAAGGTTTGTATAGTAACAGGATGTATAGAATGTTTTTGCCATTCTCTTTTAGTGAAAATAAGGATCTAAAAAATATTGGACTAGAATGAATCTGGTTCCCTCTAACTACTCCTTTTCTTAAGCCTTTTGTGAGTATGTAAGTGCCTCCCGCCGACTATTTTAAAGACTTTTATTCAAATCAGAGCTCCTAAACCTGAGGTTCATGACTGGGAAATTATATGCAAAAATGTGTAGTTTTCTTTTCTGAGGTAAGCATCTATTTTTTAATGTGATCCTCCAAAAGAGTTGTGATCCACATAAGGTTAAGAACTATTGTTCTACTCTAAACCAAGGTCACAAATCTATTTCTTTTTGACTTTGTGTTTCCCCTTGATTATGCTTTGAAGCACAGAAAATAATTAAAGATTGGTTCAAATGAAAACAGTCTTCCTGTGCACTGAATAAAAACCTTAAAATATGCAAATTTTATTCCTGAAATCCCTTCCCACAGGTTCAGCTTAACGATGGCACCTTACAGTCTTGAAGAAAAGCTAGATGTGACATCTGTCACCTCTTGGTCACAGGGGCTAGGCACATGTCTGCTTCTCTCACTGTTGCAGCTGCTTGCTTCCTGAGACTGTATATCTCATCTCCAGTTACAATATTGGTAGCAGCTGGACTTCCTGACCAAATCTCCAGAAACTTCCTTTACCAGGGGCCTTTACACAGGATGAAGCCCTTTGCATGCATTGTATCATTTGTCCCCTGCCATAATTCCATGGGCAGGTATTCCTTGCCCCATTTTGCAGAGGAGAATTGAAGCTTAGAGAGGGCAGAGACTAGACCATGGTCTCCTAGAGCACTGGCCCAGGAATGCTTCCCACAATTCTTTGAAAAATTGTTTTAACGAAAGTGTACAAGACACCCATCTTTGCTTTGTGTTCAGTTATGGGTTGAATTATGTCCCTCCAAATACATTCGTATGTTGAATGTGACCCCATCTGGAAATAGAGTTATTGGAGATAAATCTATTTAAGATGAGGCCATACTGGAATGGGATGGGCACCAAATCCAGTATGACTAGAATCTTTATAAAAAGAGGAAAATTTGACACAGACACATGCAGAAGGAGAATGTCCTGTGGAGGTACAAGCTAAGGTGATGCTTCAATAAGGCAGGGGATGCTAAAGACTGCCAGAAAGCCACCACAAGCCCAGGGAGAGACACCGAGCTGATTCTAAACTCCTCTGAAGGAACTAACCCTTCTAACACCTTCATCTTTCATGGCAGAACTTTGACACAATTTATGTTGCTTTAGCCTCCCAGGATATGGTACTTTCTTATGGCATTGCTAGCACACTAAAACATGTCCTACTTCACAATTTTTTTTAATTATAAAAATAAATGAATTCTTGTGTGGTGTAAGATATTAAAACAAGACAAACATGTGGAATAAAATGTGAAACATTCCATTCACCATCCCAATACTCAAACTAAGCACAGTTGGGGTCGCTATAGAACGTTCCCTATGTATATTTATTTGTAGAGGTGTCCTTATGTATTTTGAATTCAGTTTTTCTGGCTGAGTTATCACTGCATGTTATTATTCTCTCAGATACCTCAGATAATGTTTATTCTTTTACTGGATGGTAGTTCAAATTGCTGTCTCTCTTTGCCAACCTATTGAAGGTGAGTTGTGTGTACAAGTGTATGTATGAGTGTGTATGTTTTAATACCTAGTCCCAGGAAGAAAGAAAAATTCAAACAAAGGGACTTCCTTGAGGCAAAACGTGTACATTGGAAAAGCTATAAAAGATTGCAAAAGTGGACATACTTTCCTGCATTTATCCCATAGCCAGGCACTGGGTGAAAAGTATGAAAAGAAAGTTGAAGATGTTTCACACTTCACTCAGAAGGTAACCCATGCTCCCCCATAAAAGCAAGTGGAAATTGTTTACCTGTAAAGCTCCAAGATCCTCCTGCTAGAAACTCATCTTTTCCCACTGCCTGGCAAGGTGCTGCTCTCTCCTTTTATCAACTCTGAAATTTTTGTTTTTTAAAAACAAGGCAAAACAAAAAAGACAACATCATCTCCAGATGGCAACTGCTGCATAACACGTACGGTGCCCGGGAGGAAAGAGCAAGCCTTGGACTCTTCTGGTCTTCTCCAACAGATATACAGACTGAAGTTCCAGAACGCTCAATCTGAAACCCGCAGGGAAGCTCGGGGCTGAGAGGTGAGGTCACGAGGCATGTCCTCGAGCTCTGAGTGGCTGGTCTCTCAGCCTGGTGTCCTTTTTGCTTCATTCACCACAGTCCTTCATACACTGCATTCCCTGAGTGCCAAACAAATGAGATGTCGCCATGTAATGGCTAAGGCTGGAAAGATTTTGCTGAGTGCACTGCAAGTGGAAAATAAAAGTAGAAGAGAAATGGAGTCATGGATTTGGAATGGAGGAGAATCCTGCAGGTGAAAACCTGAATAAAGGAACACACGGAGAAGTTGTGGGGATCAACAGATAGGAGAGGGGGATGACCAGGAGGAATATAGACACAAAAGTTATTGGCCTCCTATGGTAGGCAGGTTCCAAGGCTGGTCCCTGTGGTGCGTAATCTTATATATCAATTTGGCTGGGCCACAGTAACCAGATATTTGGTTACACGTGATTCTGGATGTTTTCATGAGGGTGCTTTGTGTGTGTGAAGTTAACATTTACATTGGTGGACTCTGAGTAAAAAAATTTACCCTTCATAATGTGAGTGGGCCGCATCCAATCAGCCAAAGGCCTTAATAGAAAAACACTGACTCCCCAAGCAAGGAGAGTACCTTGGAACAGATTGTCTATGGACCCGAACTGATCATCCTGTAGATTCTGGATTTTGTCACCCTCCACGATTGGTATGGGCCAATTCCTTATAATTTCTCAATCTCTTTCCTTCTGCCCCCACCCTTTCTGTCCCTTTCTCCTTCCCTCCCTTCTATTACTTTAGTTTCTCTGAATAAAAAGAAACTTATACTATTGGTTCCTATAGAATAGGATAGAAACCTATCTAATATCAACAGTAGCACAGGAATCTTTCCTATTGATTCTGTCTGTTTGAGAACCTTGAATCATAAAGCCCCCAACATTTCCTGTCCTCCCTGTATTTCTAGCACTCACACCAAAAAGTAGGCCTTGTTTCCCCTCCTCTTAACTCTGAGCTGGCCCTATAATTGCTTTGACCAACAAAATGTGCCAGATGTGGAATTCTGAGACTTTTAAGAGCTGATCTTAGGAGTACTGGAGACTTCTACTTCCTTTCTCTTGGAGCCCAGCTACACTGCTTCAAGAGACATTGGCCACAAGGGAACTTTACGGTCAAGAACCTATGTGCTTTGGTCAACAGCCTCCACTGAGGCTTCCAATACCCCCTTATGCTTTCCAAAACCAGGTGACCGGGGGCTGGGGATTTAGCTCAGCGGTACAGCGCCTGCCTGGCAAGTGCAATGTCATGAATTTGATTCCCGGTACCGGAGAAACACACACACAAAAAAACACAGAAAAACAAAACCAGGTGACCTACAGGTGACTGCGGTTCCAGGTGATAATATGTGGAGCAGGACAACCCTGCTGAGCTCAGTCAACCTATGGCATCATAAGCTATAAGAAAGTTGCCCTAAGCGTCTAGGTTTGGAGCTGGCTTGTTATACATCAATAAAGAACCTATTTTGAAATATTGCCCACGGCTATCTACTAACTGCTAAAGTTTTCTAGATGGCTTTGCATATATGCCTGACAACCATTTGACTCCGAGAGAAAGGTTACTTTCTCTTTTCCCTTATTATCAAACCTGGGATCCTTCTTTCCTAGGTCTTCAGGCAGTTACTGCAAACCATTCCAGGACCTTAGCCAGGGGGAAAAAAAAATCACACTGCCACATCTTCTGCCCTTGAACTCACCAGCTAAAACTACTCCTCCTGCTGTTTTCAACTAGTGAGTGATTTGTTTATTAGCCAAAAAAAAAAAGTGGCCCTGTGCACTTCACCATGTTAAATAAAGTGACAGTGTTTTGAGGGAGAGGCAGAAACTTTGCTAGGGAGTCATTTGAATTAACTCCACTGTTATTTTCTTGGTGGGAATCTAGCCTTAATGGCTTCCTTTCAACATTATATTACACTGCATTGCCCAAGGTCATTATCCAACCAAGATGCAGTGGAACTAGGCCAAACTGCTCATAAACTTCACTTTATGGCCTACCACAGGAATGTCCTCCCTCTCTCCAGAAGGAGGCTCATTCCTGTTCTATTAGAAGTTTGATGTTAAAGCATGGCAATGATGTTAAGACCTCCACAGCACAGATTTGACCTAAAAGAAGATAAGAAACTTATACAATCTCACAGTACCAGAGTCTAAATTTTATATTATATACTCAGATGTGCCAAAAAATATAGTTTGTGTCTCATAAATAATTTAACATTTTTCAGGCCTATCTTACTGATTAGCTGGGAGGGGGACCTCAGATTGAAAATTTGAACTTGCCACAATTTATGGAAGCACAGTCCCTTTCAGGATAAGCCACTTCTCCTAGATGACTCAATCCTCTCCTCTTCCAGCTCTTCTTCAGAAGGGTGGGCAAGTGCAGGAAATGTATGTGCAAAGATCTGTGTCCTGATGGGCAGCTTCAGACTCCTGCTGTTCTGCCAGAGAGTGAGGTCTCTGGGCTAGTCCTTGGACAGATGGCTACGGGGATGTGTCTTGTTTCAGATATTTATTCTACTTGTAAACTCTACAAGCTCCTCCTCAGAATGGTCCATCTCTGTACAACTATTTGGCAAAGATCAAAGGGCCTTACAACACTCAGGAGACCCCACACAAGGAGTTCTATCACAACTTATCTGCCTTAGTATCATGGCCTGACATAATGGCAGTGTCTGAGCACAAGTCTCCTAGAGGACAATCTTCCCCTTCCTCAGGACAGTCAGAAAAGCATGCTGCTCACTCTCCACCATTAGTGACCTCAGACTGCCCTACATCTGGATATTTTGATAGGTTCTGGAAGGCTCACTCATAAGGGAAAGGCACAGATCTGGCTTTGTTTGCACCAGTGAGTAGAGGGCCAGTCAGATTTGGTCTATGGGTCAGTTTGCCAATCCTTTCTATGGAAGAAACTACATGAGCTGTCATTATAGATCTTCATGATAAGGGGATATGATGAATTAGAAACAGCTACATCACTTAAGTGACAAATGGCAGGAATCTTCACCTTAATGTGGTTGAGCCTGTACCTGTTTTAATCAACAGAATGTAATGCAAGGCATAATATGCCCATTTCTGGCTGTCCTTAAAAGACTGGCAGATTCCTCTTTCTGTCTTTGGGAACACTGATTCTTGAAACCTTGAACTTCCATGTGAAAAGTCTAAATGCCCTGGAAAGATTACAGGGAGAAGTTCTGACAGCATGGAGATGGGAGGGGTATGGCGGAGCCCAGCCGTACAGGCATCCCAGCAAATAGCAGGCATGTGAGTGAAATTCCCGTAGATCCTCTAGGAAGGCCATCTGCCAGCTAAATTCCACTGACTCCTGCAGCTCTAACCACATGGCAGAAGAATTATACAACTAAGCCCTGTCCAAATGCATGACCTACAGGGATGATTATTCTTTGAAGTCACTAAATTTAGGTGGATGGCCAGAACAGGCCATGGATGAAAATTCTCTGAATTAAAGCAGAAATATTATACTCATTCCACTAAAAATCTGGTAAAGTCTAAGAATCTGCTTATTTCCTCCTTTTCTGGTAAATACAAGGTAATATTTCAACCAGCTAACCTCTTTTCTTGCATATTGGAACACAAGAAGATTAACTTTTCCTACCACAAAATTCCTGTAGAACATTCTTGAAAGAAATATGTGCCAATCAAAGGAAACAATACATGGTTTGGGAAATGAGACTTTGCCTTATATTTGAGAAGGATTACATTCTTAGTGGCATGTAGGGGCTTGTAACTTCCTTGACATGGTTATGTAATTCCACGGGGAGGCACACAAGACAAAATGTGTGCATTCAAGTAGAGCAAGGATTAAAAGGAGAAATGACAAAGGCCTTTCTCCTTTCTTCCTAAGGGTTCTTGCTTTGTGACTACCAGCACCTGGACTTTCGTCGTTGGTGCAGAATCTGGGGAACGGGCAGATTTCCCCAAGAAGAACAAATGGAGAGAGAGAACAGACTACACTTTGCATAGTGTTTTTGTAGGGAGCTGAAAAGGGAGGCTTTGGGGTGGAGATGGAGGGTGGAGAAGGAACAGAGGAGCCATGTGGAGGTGAGAGGAAGCGAGGATGAGGGAGAGAAACAGATTGTCAGCTGCTGATGTGAGTGGGAGACATTGTGGGGGAAGAATTCTGTAGTGCAGGGTGAGGAGTGGGGAATAGATTTATGGAGTAGCAGCTGCTGCTGTGTGGAAAATAGTGGCAGAGGAGAGAGACTTGTTAAGAGGTTTTGTTAGACATTAAGAACACCATCCCACTTCCATCCCTTTGATCTTTTCTAGAAGACTAAATAATTTTGGAATTGTTTAATTAGCATATGTACCTATTGTAAACTGATATTTTTTTGTACAGGGAACCAAATGCAGGGCCTTGAGCATTATAGGCAAGCACTCTACCACTGAGCTACACCCTGTTCCCTTTTTGAAAAGTATCTATTAGACGAATCATAGCCATGCCCTGTAAATTTCCTTGTATTCTGGACTTCTTTTTTAATTTATTTTGAACTGCTAAGTGTTGTTTGGGGAAGGTACATTGATCTAAAATTATCTCTCATTCAGTGCCAGACTCAGGTGATTTTTGTAATCACCTGATAGTATCAGAGAGATAAGAACAAAGATATTGAATATAAAGTTAGTTAATCTGGTATGTCTCTTTATAATTATAATTGCCAATATCTATAGAATCCTCCTAAAGATATTTAAAAGGCAAAAAAGTTCATATTTATGTTATGGACATCAAACATAAACTTCCACAAAGTGAAGAAAAATAAAGGCAAATGGTCTAATTTGATACAAATGGGTACTTAATCCTTGTAATCTCATCTCCAATGATAGCATCTGCCACAATAGCAAAAACAGTTTCTCCAGCAATATGATGGGAATAAAGATGACACACTGTGAGACAGGGTAGGGAAGGCTTTCAGAAGTGATTCCAGTCATATTTTTAGTGATTTCTTATTTGGAAAAATAGGAGATTTCTTGTATCTATAGGTTTTTTACATGAAGACATATAGACAAATGTCTATATATTTTCTGATTTTCTGCTATTCTCATTGATACTGACCAAAATCTGGACCACAGTGGATCC